TGGAAACGTCCCCTTGGCTGAGCCTTTGATTTCGTCCTAACCCACCACTGTCCCAGTCTCTGGAGCACTATGAGACTCCCACCTTCACCCGTGGCAGGCTGGGGAAGGATGAGGCCTCCCGCACGGGGCCTGAGGGGGCCCTCATATCATCCTAGTGTTTCCCTCTCTGTTCAAACCCTTTTAATCCTGTTCCCAATCATTACTGCCCAGACTCACCTTTCCCCTGTACTCAAGAACTATAGGTTAAAGATTTCGTGCTGCATTGTTGATTTAAACCTAGGATAAAAAGACAAGACAGGAGTGCGAGTACCAGACGGCCACGATCTCATCCTTTAAAAGAATGTAACTTTAAGACAAAGGTTTCTGAACAAGGTCATTAACACTGTTAGGGGCAATCAGTGGGACAGAAACTGTATCCCTAGAAAAGAGAGTCATAAAGCTCTTAGAAAAGAATGTAACAATTCACATAGCTCGATACCCAGAGGGGTATAAGAGTTTGGACTGCATGGGGGAAGGCACGGCAGTCTTCCAGATCTGCCAATAACACGGTGATTCTTCACACCGGCTCTTGGTCGGACTTTTGTCTGGTAACACTAGCAGGCAGGTGGCCCCAGGCCGTGAGCACACCCTCTAGTCCCTTCATGCTACTCCTGACTCGGGGACTCAGCCACAGAACCCATAACCCGACCGCACCATACTACCGGACCGGAAGTATAAAAAGTCACCCTCGTTATTAATGGTGACCTGGTGGAGTTGCTCTAGGCGTCCGGAGGACTACAGTCTCGGTAGTTTGCCAGGCCTGCGCAGCGTCAAGAATCAGAGAAGGCCCGAAAGCAGTTCCTCCTCCGAGTTCGGCTTTCCGGACAGACTACTGCCATCCTTCAATCTATTGGCCCTGAAGGAATTTATCACAAAGGCTTATTGGGAACTAGCGCAGAGGCTTCTGGGATGTGTAGTCTCACAATCTCGGCCTCGTCTCTAAGGCAGTGAATGAGGCAGGAAAGATGTGATCATAGTCAACACAGCACAGCCTTGTACTTTGGGAGTCGCATTATGTTATCGCCACACCTCTTTTCCAGCCTTCTAGAGGAGGCGAGCCTGTAGACTTGTGGACCAGACTTCTGGCCAGGGTTCTGCCCCATCAGCAGGGGTTTAGTGAGGAGCTGTAGGTGAGTTTGGGAATACAGAGGTGCTCCCCAATCTCTGGGTCGCCTTTAACAATTGCTGTGCAGTCCACTCAAACTCAAGGCAATCCCATGTGTTTCAGAGTAGAACTATGCCGCACAGGATTTCCAATTCAGCGGCTGTGACTTTTCAATAGGTTGGGAGGCTGGCCTTCTTTAGCGCCTTAGTGAATTCAAACCACTAACCTTCAAGTGCTTAACCATCTGCGCCAAGGCAGCTTAATCATCCTTGTTGTTAAGTACCATCGAATGGATTCCTACTCATAGTGGCCCTGTATAGGGGTTCCACAGAGCCACTGGTGAGTTTGAACCTCCAATCTTGTGACTCACACAACATTGCGGTCCAGGACTCCTGACATCCTTAGACCCCCTAAATTCCCTATTGTCAGTTCATCACTGCCACATAGCTCATAGCTCACCCTAAGTGCCCCAGCTACCACACCTGTTTGTCACATGCAAATAAAACTTTGCTGAGGATAAAAAAAAAAGTTGCAATTGTAGATCCACATGGAACTTCCAGAAATTCAAGCCAGATTCAGATGAGAATGTGGATCTAGGAATCTCATTGCTGACATCAAATGGAACTCGAATGAAAGCAGAGAATACCAGAAAGATGGATGCTTGTGCTTTATTGACTATGCAAAGATATTTGACTGTGTGGATCCATAACAAACTATGGATAACTTGGCAAAGAATGAATATTCCATAACACTTAATTGTGCTCGTGAGGGACCTGTACATAGACCAAGAGACATTTGTTTGAACAGAACAGAGATACTGAATGATTTTCAATCAGGAAAGTTGTGTCAGAGTTGTATCTTTTCACCATATTTATTTAGTCTGTATGCTGACCAAATAATCCGAGTAGCTGGATTATATAAAGAAAAATGTGGCATCAGGGTTGGAGAAATACTCAGTAAAAACCTGCAATATGCAGATGGCAGAACTTTGTTTGTTGGAAGTGAAGAGGACTTGAAATACTTATTGATGAAGATTTAACACTACAGATTTCAGTATGGATTTTATCTCATACGTTGTCCCAGCCCCCGCAGCTCTGCACATCCCAGGCCAGAGTGCAGGGGTCAAGGGGTTAGGCTACAGGTAGTGGAGCTGGTTGTCTTTGTCTCTGGGGACAGTCTCTGCCCAGGTCAGTTTCAGGGCCTGTACCCTTGGCGACTCCACCATCAGGGGCTGACTGTCCAAGAGGGTCCACTGTGGGGAGCCTCCAAGAATCTCCAGACCTGAAACACTCCTGGAAGCCAGCCAGGGATGTTTAGAGTCAGTCAGTTACCACACAGAGCAGCTGTTGAGCAGCCAGCCTGTGCCTACTGTGGGGCGGGCTGCTGGAAACTGATCTGACCATGGGGCTGGGAGGAGGCCTCTAGAGCTGTACAGCTAACTCCTTGATGGGTCCCTTTGGAGATTGAGGTGGATGAAGTGACAGGGATCAGGAAGCACCCATGGGAAGGCAGTGTCATTGGGAAGCCCGCCAGGGCCAAGTCTTAGGTCCCAGCCAAGGTATAGGAGGTATGAGGTCACAACCTGGCTCACACTCTCCACACTAGGTGCAGGATGCGTGGTAGGCAGGGGCACCCACCATACCAAACTACCCAGTCAGCTCCACAGGTCCCAGACCCAGACGGATGGAAGGTGGTGAGGGCTGTCCTTCAAGCAACCTGTTTGGAGCCAAGGGACAGACCGACCGGGTAGGCATCCGTGTATGATGGGGATAAATCTCCAAGTAGGTAGTCTCCCTCTTCCACACCCCAGACCCTCTGAGAGATCGCTTCGGTCTGCCTCTGCAGAAGAATGCGATTTGTGGATAGGAAACTGATGTTCATCTCGACTTTATTTCTTATCTGTCTGTATTCCAGCCTTTGGGCTCAAACGTACGAAGTTTCTTTTACTTGAAGAGGCTGGCTCTAGGCTGAGTGAGGGGGTGCCCGTGGGCCTTTTCTGTTCCCCACCCACCACGAGTGGGGTATAGACACCGGGGTCAGAGAAAACCCTGAGGTCAAGCTGCTGCCAGCCTATAGAGGGGCTTCCCCATCCGTGGAAGGACGCTTTCCAGAGGGTCCCCAGCCTGACGGCCCAGTGCTTTCTCAGCGCTCCGCCAGCAGCAACTAAATAGGGCTTCGGCTTCAGGGGCCTCAATCCCCAAGATGTCTCAAACTGCTCCTGGCTGGAAATCCGGTTCCTACCGCCGCGAACTCTGGCCTTGTCTCCGGGAACCTGGCCCTCCGCTCTACGAGCCCAGATTGGGCACCGGTTGGGGGAAGGTTGTAACGGCCTGGGGAGTTCCGGCATGGGGTGGGGGCAAGGGTCAAGTGTACGGGGACCCCCTCCGCGAGGTTCCAGGTTCGCAGCTGCCCTGAGTGTACGTTGTGTTACGGGTTGTTATTCAGTGCCGTCGAGTTGATTCCGACTCACAGCGACCCAGTATAGGGTTTCCGATGAACGGCTAGTGGGCTTGAACTGCCCACTTTGTGTCTCAAACGTAGTTAGCGACGGGATCAGCGAGGAGCAGCTGGGTGAACCGCGTGTGCGGACGAGTGGGCTCGCGCATGCGTGCAGCGGCCGGGTAGGACAGTCGGGCCCGCAGGACACACTCCGATTCTCCGAGCCGCAATTCGTGTGTGTCTGTGAGACTGGTGTGACCGGGCGGGATACGCAAGGTTGCCGAGCTGGCTGTCCCGTTTGAAACTTATGACGGGCAGGGTTTCAAGTCAGTGGTCCAAAAGAGAAGCTACCACAAACCCGTCTCCAGCCTTCGGTAGAAATAACCTCATTGGCTTCAAGTAAAGCATTGCGCTTGCGCAGCGGGCTCACGCTCAGGCAAGTACCGGAAGTCGGATTTTCGCCAAACACTGGGACCGTTCCGTCAATACGCGCATGCGTTATAACTATGTGCGTTTGGTCGTGCCTTTACATCCTTGCTCCGGATTGGCCTCTGACTGCAAATGACTTCTTTTATGCGCCCGTCTCCTCTGCTGACCCGGAACTGTTCGCCGCCGTTAAATGCGTCGGCCCGCGGCGCGCGGTCTCTTCCTGTCTGTGCCAGGCCGGCGCGCGGTCCACGCCGAGCAACTGAGGCTCCTCGGCGGCGCCCACAGGTGAGGCAGACGCGTGGTCTGGGGTCTGTGGCCCACCAGTGCCTTCCAAGGCTCAGCGGGTAGGGTTCCAAGGTCTGGGCCTTTCCTCATGGGACTTAACCCTTACATCCCGGAACAAGAGTGCAGAGGAAACGGGCCGAGGCGCAGCGAAAGTTGCTCACTGGTGCTTTGCCACCTTTGTGACATTTCCCTACAGGCCTCCTGAAAATAAACACCGATGGAAGGGTTCCACTTCCTTAGGAAAGTGACTTCGTTTCTATTCTGTAGACGTCTTACTTCGATAATAGCAGTCCCGATTGCTTCCTAGTACCCGACCTTTTTAGCTGATTAGGCTGCAGAACTTAGCGTTGGTAGCAGACAATGTTTCCGTTCCAGATGAGCAATTAGAGTCCCAAAGTGGTAAACAGCACGGTATAAGGACGTTCGGCATCACCCACAAGCCTTTTTACGTTCTGCAGTAGCCGTTGACTTTGTAGTGCTTGCCAAAAGATGCATGCTTGCTGCTGACAGCTAGGTAGTTTTTTTAGCGCTTGAAAAGGTCACACAGATGAGCAAAGCTTTGTACATTAGGAGTTATGACATTCTGTAGGTAATGTGTGTACATAGGAGGCAGCCATTTCTCCTTTCCTGTGTATCCCACCCATAGCTTGGGGCCACCCTCAGGCCAGTGGCTGATGATGGCCTTTCAGGCTTGTGTTCTCTGATGGTTTCTTCTCCCTACCCAGTTCCCAGGATGACTGAGTGGGAGACAGCTGCGCCCGCAGTGGCGGAAACCCCGGACATCAAACTTTTTGGGAAGTGGAGTACAGATGATGTGCAGATCAACGACATTTCTCTGCAGGTGAGGGGGCGTGGTGGAGTCCTGCATCCCTGAGACAAGAGTGGGTAACTTCAGGATTCCTCACAACAGGAAAGCTGCGTGGATAGCCACAAAGTAGGAAGGAAGGGGGGTGATAGGCAGTGTGGGCCAACACTTGGTGCTGAGACCTTTGAGAGTTTGGGTAGATGTGGATTCTTCCAGTGGTCACTGCTAGGTGTCCTGTTCCATCTAAACAGCAGATTAAGCAGGGAATCAGTGACCACCTTGTCTAGTCATTCTTTTTGAGATGTCCGTTCCCCCAGAAAGAGCACCCATCACACATAACTGTTTGCTTTGGTGGTAAGATACATGTAACCTGGAGTCCAGCTTCACCCACTTGCTGATTCATACCCAGTTGTCCCGGCACAATTTCTTGAAAAGACTATTTTCCCCTGAATGAATAGGTAACAAACAAAGAAATTCATGGTGTGTGGCAAGTCTCTTGGTACCCTTTTACCGCTTACTAAATGTCACATTATGGTAGTCTTCGCGATAGTGCAAACATAGACTATGCACTGGGAAACAAATTTATGTGGCTTTATTGCGATATGTGCTTTACTGCCATAGTCTGAAATAAAACTTACAGTATTATTAAGGTATACCTGTACATTTTGTGTTTTTGTGTGATTTATTTTAACATTTTGGGCAAGACACCTTTCCACTTGCCTGTTGGTGGAGGTAAATCGGGATATATGTTGAACTTTCATATAGTTGTCTTCTTAACATTGCATTTATCTATAGAAACAGGTTAGTTGTGTGTGTTTTTGTATGATAGTAAAAGAATAACTGGGTGCATAACAATCCCCATTATGCACATAAACTAGCTCCTCGCTCCACCAGTTCTCATCCTGGAGTGAGTTGGCCTCTCAAGCACTAGGTTAGGCGTTTGTGGTGTTGCCACTGAGGAGTGTGCCTAGAACCTGCAAAGTACACAGGCATGGGATACAGCCGGGATGCGTTTTAAACCTTTTAGGAGTGTTATCACACACTTAATAGACCACCCAAACCAAATCCATTTTCCATCAAGTCCATTCCAATTCATGGCGATCCAGTAGGACAGAAAAGCTGCCCCATACAGTTTCCAAGGCTGTAAGTCTTTATAGAAGCCATTTGCTACATCTTCCTCTCACAGTGTGCTTGGTTGGTTCAAACTGCTGACCTTTTGGTTAGCTGCTGAGTGCTTAACTGCTGTGCTACCAGGAACTTCTTAATACAGGCTGCAGTATAGTGTCGACATTAACAATGTACTGGGGAACATATTTGTTAACCTGTTTTATTGTAGAGATCTGGAACTGAACCTGCAACATAACTAATGTATGTCTGTACTGCTTAACATCCTACAATGCTATAAAGGAAGTGTTTTCTTTAACAATGTGTGAAAGTCACCTGTTGATGTTTCATTTTGTCCTGACAGGTGGGTCTGAAAACCTAAGTCTCCTGGGGAGGCAGGCTGGTCGGGAAACCAGTCCCGATTTCTGCCAAGGTCTGTCCCTCCACTCATTGTTGCCCCTGCTTCTCTCTGCAGGACTACATTGCAGTGAAAGAGAAGTATGCCAAATACCTGCCCCACAGTGCAGGGCGCTATGCCGCCAAACGCTTCCGTAAGGCCCAGTGCCCCATTGTGGAGCGCCTTACCAACTCCATGATGATGCACGGCCGCAATAACGGCAAGAAGCTGATGACTGTGCGCATCGTCAAGCATGCTTTTGAGATAATCCACCTGCTCACCGGCGAGGTAGTGCCATGTGGCTGGGCAGGAGTTCCTTTATCTCATTACAAAGCCAGCAGCTGCCTTGCTGTTTAGTGATATCTCTACTTGGGTGCTGAGGAGAGATGGAGGGATTCATGGGGGTTGTCTTATAGGGTACTTAGTCACAGCCCTCCTCTCTTCCAGAACCCTCTGCAGGTTCTGGTGAATGCCATCATTAACAGTGGTCCGCGGGAGGACTCCACACGCATTGGACGAGCGGGAACAGTGAGGCGTCAGGCTGTGGACGTGTCCCCGCTGCGCCGAGTGAACCAGGTGGGCCTGGGGCTGAGGAACCATGGGCAAGGCCTGCTGTGTGGGAATGATTATCTCTGTCTGCATGCTTTACCTGAAGCATCACTTCCTCTGAGAAACCTTCCTGGATCTCCACCCACACTGGGAGCTCTGAACTGTGAGACCATATTGGACTAAGGCACAGGATCCATTTAAGACATTTTGCCACTTGTAAACTTTCAGCAAGTGTTTACAAAGACATAGTTTTATCGCCGTCAAAAAAAAGTTCATGGAAAAGTGGAACTAAAAAATAATGGAATTTTTCAATGCTCTTTTGGGCGGTCCCTTGTATATTCACCTGTCCTCAGTGAGTCTTTTCTAGCTGTTCCTTTTCCAGTTGGACTTCTGGTGTGGTGCTTTAGGATCACGCTGAAGTTTCTGATTTAATTTGTGCGCATTTGCCCAGAGTGAGATTCGGCAAGACACCATGTGGGCTGCTTCTACTGTGTCTCATCTATGAGGATGGGGAGAGGGTGCCAGAGGGTCACATCTTACCTGGTAGGAGATATAGCATACTTCATGCCTAACCTGTCCACCCTGTGCCTTTTAGGCCATCTGGTTACTGTGCACGGGTGCACGTGAGGCTGCCTTCCGGAACATCAAGACTATTGCTGAGTGTCTGGCAGATGAGCTCATCAACGCAGCCAAGGTGGGGTCGGGGTGGGGATCTTGGTGGGCAGGGGAGGGCTGGCCAGCTTCTGGTACTCAAAATTGACCACTATTTGCCTCCTCCCAGGGCTCCTCCAACTCCTACGCCATCAAGAAGAAGGATGAGCTTGAGCGTGTGGCCAAGTCCAACCGCTGATCTAGCTGTGGCCCAATAAACTTTTCAGCCCTTGGGGCAGTTGTGTCTACCAGTGTCTGCTGTCTTACCTTTGAGGGGGGACTTGAGTTAACACCCCAAACATCCATCTCTGGGCTCACATTCCTGGTATGTTCGCCAGGCTACAGGAATCTGAATTCACCAGGAAAGCAAGCACCTGAAGGTTGGGAAGCAGTAGTTGTCTCAGAAGCAGGGTTTCCTGGATCCCTCAGCAAAAGCAGGCAGGCACCGGCTGTCAGTATGGCTGTCTGAGCCTGTTGCCATTGAGTGTTGAAAATAATCCCAGGTTGCTTGTGGCAGATCAGAGTCCTCTGTCATCTTTTTAAGTTGAAAGATCTGCCAGAAGAAGCAGCTTAGGTTCTGGGTGGGGGTTTGCTTTGCTTACCCTGGAGGGTTGGACTTCAGAGGCATGTTCACCTCATGGATGCAGCTCCACAGATGGAGCAACAGCAAACACCAAGTGTTGGCCCATACACTGTCTGGGAACAAACATTCCAGGTCCTATAAACTGCCCAGTTCTGACCACTGCCTGTCTTCCCAGCAGCAGGGAGGTGACTGCAGAGCTTTGCCCACTCACTCACCAGTCCTGTCACCGGTGCCATTCCCCACCCCCGCCACCCTGACAGGATCAGGCCTAGGGTTTGCCCTCTAAGCAGCACCAACCCAGGTGGTTGGACAGGTCGGGCAGGGTCCCGCCTCCAGGAGGGGTTCCTCTGCTCCCTTACCCTGTTGAGCTCTGGATTGAGGTCAGACCTGGCAGGGACACACAGTTGGCCACAGGGAGGAGGCACACCAACAGGTAAGAAAAGGCCAACAGGCAATGGGTTTGCAGGAGCCGCTGACCTCCCCAGCACCTCTGGTGAGGTATCTCTCCGTGGGCTTGGGGGGATCTGCCTCTGCTCTCCTTGCCATCTGGAGTCTTATCTGTCCACCTCCTTGGGTTACCTTAAATCCCCAGTAGCTCTGCCCCTTCCTGGTGGATTCCTGGCTCCAACTCCTACCTCCCAGTTTGTCTTGGGCCATTCCGCAAATCTATACCTACTGTTCCCTGGGTCTTAGTCCTGCCCAGGTCCCACGGTTCTCTCCAATCTTACGTCCTAACATTCCCCCTTAGCTCCCAATCATACTACCTGGAGCTCCTTGTCTGAGCCCCATCCCTCTCGGTTCTACCTGCTCCCTATCCTGCCATTCTCTGGTTCCCAGTAATTCCCCCGCATTCCGGCCCAGCTCTGTCCGGAGTTTTGCCCTCCCCAGACGCTCTCCCTGCTACCCTGCTGACCACGCCTCCCCCTAGGTCTGGATGCCCTGCCCAAGGCCACCCTGGCTCCGCCGTCCCCGGGCCCCCCAGGGCTCGGTGCCCAGTTCCCCGGGCAGGGGAGAGGACGACAATGAGGAGGAGGAGGAGGAAGATGAAAATGCAGGTTCTGGCTCCATCCTGTCCCCTCCTTCGCCTGTGGAATGCCTCATCTGTGTGTCGCCCTTCGACAACGTCTTCAAGCTGCCCAAGCGCCTGGACTGCGGCCACGTCTTCTGTCTCGAATGTCTGGCGCGCTTGTCACTGGCCACAGCGGGTGGCGGCGATGCGGTGGCCTGCCCGGTATGTCGGGCGCCCACGCGCTTAGCGCCGCGCCGTGGGCTACCAGCGCTGCCCACACAGCCGGACCTGCTGCCCCGCGAGGCGTGCGCGCCACCACCGCTGAGCCAGGGCTCAGTGCGCTTTGACCGCCGCCGTGGCCTGCTCTACCTGAGGCCCGCGCCGCCGCAGTCCGGGCCCGGACCACGCAAGGCCCGTGCCGCGCGCCCGCCGCCACCGCCTCCGCCGCTGCGCCTGGGCCGTCCACTGTCACGCCGCCTGACGCTCAGCAGCCCCACCTGGGCCTTTAACGCGGCCGTGGCGCTGGCCGTGCTGGTAGCCGCGGGCCTGATCGTCTCCGGAGTCTATATCTTCTTCCTCATCCCGCACGCCGCTTCATCGGCCTCCGCGCGCCCCCAGCTGGTGGCACTCGCCCCGGCGCCCGGCTTCTCCCTCTTCCCGCCACGGCCGGTGCCCTGGACGCCCACCTGGACGTCGCGGCCAGAGCTGGATGCCACTGCGCCAGGAGCCGCTCCGGACGCAGCCGAGACAGAGCCTGCGGGGGACACCGAGGACACGATGGAGGCTTACGAGGAAATGGACTGGGGCTTGGACCAAACGTGGGGGAGTGCAGCTGTCCCTGGCACGTCTCCCCCGGAAAGAAGTGGAAGGAGGGGTTGAAGGATGCAATGGACACACCAGATGTGGTCAGGGACACTCAGCTAGGACTCTGGTGGGGGCTATAGCTGGGTGCATCGCGGGCAGCCATCCCCCGAGCTGGACCGTCAGGGAGCAACGCCCCTGTGGGTTGAGAACTTGCCAAGGAGCACTCCCACTTCCGTTTACACAGGACTCCTCTGAGGTCCTCCAATGGGAGCCGCCGGTTGAGAAGCATGCCCTATCCTGATCTCCGTGGACGTCCAACTAGAAGAGACTCCCTGACCCTGATCCCAGTTCAGCGGGGTTCCGTAGCCATGCCCCTCACTGATCCACTACAATGTAGTCCCTCCATCTTCTTGGGACAGCTGTAACTCCAGCGCCCAGCCCTGACTCCACTCCAGGTTGGAGCTGGTGGGATCCAGTCACCGCCTGCTAATCCACGATGGACACTTGGCTACTGTACTCCTGGCTGGGGGTCAGGGTTGGGGATGGCCAGATGAAGCAGCCTTCTCAACCCCAGTCCTGAGTCCCAAACCAGATCCACCATATAGCTGACAAGTTGTGGCTTCTGTAATCCCTCAGCATACTCTGAGATAGTCTCTAGGGTCCCGGGAAACCAGAATGAAGAGGCGGCCCCCTCCATCTCTACCGCCACCTATAGGTGTTTCTCAGTATAAGCCCCATCTGATGGGCAGCAGGAAGCCGCTCTTTCCCACTCCTTCCTGAAGCTTTGCTCCCCTCCCCTTGGCACAGGCCACACCTGGGCTTCCTGGCCCACCCATTCTAGCTCACCTTGCTCAGGACTGGGGGCTGTGTGTCGAGGGTGGGTACCCAGAAATTTCCAGAAAGAAATGTGAATTCTATGAGATTGGAGCCTCCTGTCTGATTTGTTTACATCTATGTCCTCAGTGCTTAGTCTACAAGTAATGGATGCCTAATAGTTGACTGGGGAGTTACAATGTCGTAGATGACATGCCTGTGGGCACCCCAGGCTCGCCCAGCTCCCAACTGCTCTGGGTCTGGGCATGTCTGTGCAGTTAGTCGGCTCTGCGCTGCTGCTGAAAGGTGGGAAGGCAGAGGAGGAACATCAGGGTGTCAGAGAGTGTCTTCCCAAACCAGTTGTTGGCTCACACCTGGATGCCACCATCACCCCCAGGGGCTGGGTCACTAGACAGCCACAACCACAGCCATAGCCCCACAGGAAGGAGCGCGTGCTAGGGTATAAACACGATTGCCCCTTTATATTGGTTTCCTGTGGCTGGTGTAGGAAACTACCTCCAACTGTAAACATACGTACACACACACACAGTTCCTGTTAAATCCGTTTCAATGCTTGGTGACCTGACCCTGGGTGTGCCAGAGTAGAACCACACTCCATAAGGTTTCTAATGGCTGGAACTTTTCTAATGGTCTTTCCTCTGAGGTACCCCTAGATGAATTCAAACTGCAATCTTTTATTCGTTTGAATGCTTAGCCATTTTGTGCCCCAAGGACTAGTCCCAGTTTAAAGTGGTTTTGTTGTTGTTAGTTCTGTTGGCTAAAACCAACTGCCACCTAGTCGATTCTGACTCATTACAACCCTGTAAGTCAGAGTTTCCAAGACTAATCTTTAATGAAGCAGACTGTTGCATCTTTCTTCCACAGAATAGCTGCTGGGTTCAAACCACCAACCTTTAGGTGAGCATGCCAGCAGAACTCTTTGTTCTGGAAGCTAGGAGTAAGAAGTGAGTCTCACTGGGTTTGGGTAGGGTCATCCACTTCTGGAGGCTCCAGGAGAGAATTCATCCCAAGGTTTGAGTTGTATGTCCCTTGCCTCATGGCCCCTTCTTCCTTCATCCTTAAAGCCACCAGGAAACATCTTTAAATCTTTCTCTGGTTCTCCCACCTCCTTTTTCTATATAAGGACCTTCTTCTATATAAAGTAGCACGTAGAGTCCACCTTGACAATTGAACTTCATATCCTCACCTCAAGGTCTTTGTCTTAATTACATGTGCATAGTCCATTTTGCCATATAATGTAACATATTCACAGCTTCAAGGGAATTACAGTCCTGGGTATCTTTGTGGTTGTGTTGTGTGCTGTGGTTCCAACCCATAGTGACTTCCTAGGACAGGGTAGAACTGCCAGTGTGGCACAGATGGAAAAGAACTGGACTGCTGACCACAGGGTCAGTGGTGCAAAACCACCAGCTGCTCCTCAGACCACCTATACAGGGTCGCTATGAGTTGGAACTGATTCAATGGCACTTAATAACAACAATCTTTATGAGAGCAAATCTCTAGGTCTTTTCTCCTTTGGAACCAATGGTGGGTTAGACCTCTGACCTTTTAGTAGGGGAACACTTAGTTAATGTGCCACCTACCAGGGTTCCTTTGGATATCTTTAAGGGTCATTATTTAACCTGTCAAAGGGTCCTAGGGCTTCTCTTAACGTCACTTCCATCCTTCTCCATGGCGATGGGCCTGGCCCAGATGAGCTGAGTCAGGGTACTCAGAAAGGACTGATTGCTATGAATACACACAAGGAGAGAGGATGCTGCCTACCTGGGGGTGGTCAGGGAAAGCTGACAGGAGAAGAGCACTTCAGAACTGTATCCCCAAGTATGCTCAGGAGAAACAACAGCTGACAGAGGCAGGAGCACAAAGGGGGCAGCAAGATGTTGGCTGAGAGCACTAGGTGGGGCTGCTTCCGTCTTTATCTGTCCTAACCTGCCCCCTTCCCATGGCTACTGGAATGCATGGGAACCTTTGGCCTCAGTCTCCTGTCCTGTAAAACAGGGCTGATGACAGAGCCCATGAGTCTCTGAGCGTCCCTGTCTGCCAATTACTACCTCAGTGCCTGCTCACCCACTGCACATGGTAAAAAGGGCTTCCCTGAAACCACCCCAGGCCAGAACCCTAGGCCACCAGCCTGTGACTCCATGTCCCCCAGTTTCCTCCTCATCGGGTTCTCCAGCCCTTCCTGTCCCTGACACCTGGGCACCTCTGTCCCAGGCCTCCATGTCTTGAGTAAGGACTGGGGAGGGGTCAGTTTCAGTGCTTGGCACCAAGTCAGAGCACTAGAGTCCTGCTTATAGGGGTCAGCCCTTAGGTCCTCTTCTCTATAATGGATGGTAATGAACCTTCTGATTGCTTGGAGAATTCGTTCATACACAATGCTTACTAAGCCCTTGTTGTGTACCAGGGGCACACTGGGGCTATCTAGAGAAAAAGGAGGGAGCTCACAGGGAAAACAATGTCCAACTGCCCCTTCTTCCATGCAATCAGCAACCCCTTCAGCCTTCCCTAGGTCCAGTCCTTCAGGAGTGATGCCAGAGGCTCTATTCTGCAGGGACGCCCCCGTCCACGGTAGAGCCATCCTGAGTCATAAGGGCATCTCTGGTGGAGGTGTTGTGCTGTGAAGTCGGTTCTGACTCATAGCGACCCTACATAGGGTTTCCTTGTAAAAACCAGAGGTCCAGTATGGGGGCGACCTCACAGGACTCTGGGAGCGACAGTGTCCAGAATGACAGATGAGAAACTGAGGCTGATGGGCACGGTATGCTGTTAACTAGAACCCCATCAAAACCCCTTCATTAATCCAAAACCCTAGCCAGGGAGCCTCCTTTCCCTCTATATCCTCGGTCCACAGCCACGCGGACCAATGAGAGACCGTATTGAAAGCTGGGGGGCCTGAGTGTCGTTACTATAGCAACCAGGGCCGCCTAAACCTTTCATGGTTTTGACATTGCGCGCGCATTGCATTCTTGAATCCTAGGTAGGAAGACCCAGGAAAACGTGGTAGAGTTGGTAGCCAATCAAGAGCCTGGGTCCCTTGTTGGTATGGCAATCAAGGGCGTAGGGACCATCCCGGGAGTGGTGCTGCGGCGCGGCGAATGCCTGAAAGAAAGATTTGAAACAAAGGAGAGGCAACTAAGGCTCGGGACTGCGGGAGAAGAGAGAAAGGAACAGCAAAGAAAAGACTCAGCTATCTTAAATGCTTTAAAGAGTAAGACAAAAAGACCACCACAAGCAGAAGAAAAGCTGTGTTTATTGCACTTCTGTTGTTCATCAAACCCCATGCAAAAGACAAAAGGAGTCCCTGCCCTTGCCTGCCTCAGGATACAGAGGGCGTGATGGATGTGAAATACGTTATATTTGAACACATTCATATTGTTGTGAATGAATTTTAATTCAGATACAATTTAACTGAGTATATGGTTGTGAATATATTTGAGCACAGGTTTTTAAAAGATAAGATTATACTTATGAATAGACGTTATGACAGTGACATTTTAACGTATATAATTAAGAGTGAAGTGTGCAGGCCTGAGGAACTAGACCCTTGGGCCAGGCCTTTTGTGACAGGTAGGTCATCATCATCCTGTAGAGTAAGCACAGATAAGATCTAAGCCTAACTTCACTAGCAGATCTGACAAGGCCGGAAGTAGAGGATCCACTTCCAAGATGACTTAGTGGCTATTTACAGAGGGCCTCAGGTGCCATGTACACGACTGAGAAGGCACCTTTAGTGTGTTCATGACATGTCGCTGACTCACTCCCCAGTGTGATTGAACCAAAAGACAACAACAAGGTGAAAGCCACAATGTCTTTTTTCCTTTTTTTTTTTGTAGCTTGGGTGAAATTTTAAGGAGCATATTAGTTTTCCAGTCAACAATTTACACATATTTTGTTTCATGGCATTGATTGCAACCAATTCAATGTACCAGCACTCTTCCCCATTTCTGTCTGGGTTCCCTATTTTCATTCATCCTTCTTTCCTGCACTTTTTTTGCCTTCTGAGTTTTGTTTTTGGGTAAAAGCCACCAGTTCTGGGCTTGGTTCAGTTCCAGGCTTGCAGGGTGTCTAAGAGCCACAGTCTTGGGGAGCCACAAGGTCTTTTGAAGCGGAATCTTAGAAGTCAAACAGCATTTCACCATCACTTTTGCCACATTTTATTAATTAGACATGAGTCACTGGATCTGGCCCGCACTCTAAAGTAAGGGGAATTTGGGTAAAACTTTTGCGAAGAGGAGTGGTAA